TTCAGTTGTCATGGCAACTGAATGTTAAAAGGAACTTATAATAGGTAACACTAGAAGAGTTAAGAACTGGCATATGGTTTCTATGGAAATTCAACTCACACCCCTCTTTGCCACATGTGACAGTCATTACTATGCGAAATACATGCATCAATGGAATATGTCTAACAATGACATCTTTGCCCGTGAATCACATTTGAACCTCGTAGTAGCCACTTCCATATAGGGATATTCATAGCTACACTTTGTTCTCACTTAATGAAGAACTCATTAACACATTTCATTCGTGCATTGGAACAATAGACCTCTCATTACCCTTTCTGACCTGTGACGTCATGATTATATTTGACTATTAATGAGTTATTGCACTTACTTAGCCTAAGATCACTTTGTGGAATGGGGGCCCATAGAACTGACTTGTAGGTCAGGCGCGAGATTCAAACCGAGGTCACGTGACGCCCATGAGCGTTCATGGCAACGTCCGCCATCTTGTTTTTAGACACGTGTTGTTCTACGTTTAACGAATGGTCAAGTAATTAATTGCATGATTGCATCCGATCAGTTGACCCTTAATGAACGTAATTGAATATCGGGAGATCTTTCTACATTAACCTGTTCCTGGGCTTTTAAATCCTTCCACACATAGCCCGCCACCGAATGCACACAGAGAAATGTCTTCAATGCAAAAGGTTCAAATGTTCACCTCATGTTCTCGCGCCAAAATGTACTCACAATGACATTCCATTCCGCGTGAGTCAAGACCCAACCCAACCCTGGTCGTAGTAACATTTCCATATGGGGACATTCATTACTATCCCGGTTAACGAATGGTCAAGTAATTAGTTGCATGATTGCATCTGGTCAGTTGACTCTATATTCATCTAATTAACCTGATACATCACTTATACATTTACATATTAATGAGTTATCTTGCATATTAATGAGGGATTGGTGACCTAAGTTTCCATATAAGGATATTCGTTACTATCTATTGTTCTTTGTTAATGAATGCTCAAGTAATTAGTTTCTATGATTGCATTTGGTCAGTTGACCCTGTATTCATCTAATTAACCTGATACATCACTTATACATTTACATATTAATGAGTTATCTTGCATATTAATGACAACACCCAACCCCACCCCACCCCACCCCCAAGGTCAAGGTTATGTGACGTCATCAGTCACGTGGGGTAACTAGGTGCACTGGTGACGTCATCAAATGTGGATGTGTGGATGGATACTTATCAAAAGTTATCTACTCATGTATTGCTATATTTTCAGTATTGTTAAGCTCTATTTGTGTCTACATTGTACACATTCAATGCAAATGACTTTTGGTTATTAACGGTAGTTTAGATATAAAACATGTGGCCATATTATTTAACTCGCAAATTGAAATTTGACATTAATATTATTTATTCGCTTTAAGTTGTATTCTGTAAGGTCGTATTAAAGTAAAACTTATCATTACGTTCTTCATAAACATCAAAGATCATGTAAGATTATTTTAGTTCTAGGTTACACATATAGTACGTGTCTTACCTAAAAGTTATCTTATTTATTTACAATACATTGTCCTCAACTGCGTTATGTCACGTGTAGCAACCAGACGGCCAGCACACCCGAGGACATCTGCAATATGTGGACTGATTACTATGTGGATCTGCTGTCTCCTCTCGGTAGGCCTGAGTTTGAAACGGACTTTTATGAGGAAACAAAATCAAAGGTTTGTGATACAGCAAACAGTAACATATCTGAGAACTATCCAATCCTGAAGACAAGTAATTGCATCTAATTAAGTGAAATCAACTATTAAGAGGTTGAAAAAGAATAAGTCTCCTGGGCCAGACTGAATTACTGTAGAACACCTCCATAATGCTGACAATCTTCTGTTTAAACATCTGGCACACCACTATAATATTATGATCAGTATTTGTTACATGCCTGTCATGATGAGAACTGGAACTATTATTCCCATCTACAAAGGGAATAACAAAGATAAATGCAACCCAGCTAATTATTGCGGTATCACTCTAACACCCGTGACTTGAGAGGCTGTTGCTAGACAGGCTGTAGTCCTACATCAAAACTATTAATCCTGATTTCCCACATCGTCTCCAGTGCGGCTTCCGGAAAGAGCATGGAACCAGTGTTGCTCCATATTTGTTAAAGGAGGCTATTTCCTATTTTCAAGATTGCCACTCAAATAAACTAGTGTCCAAAAGAAACGATACCACCTGTTTGCAACAACATAAAAGAAAAAATAAACAATGCAGAAGTTTAGGATTGGTGTTATGCTTTTGAGAAATCCTTTCACAACTTCTGTACAAAAAGTTCATTTCAATAAAATCTGTACAACCAATATGACAAGCCTTTAAAGATGGGTGGGGTCGAAAAATGAACATTTCGTTAGAGCACTGATCACAGAAACAACGGGAAATGTCACACCACACGTCTCAAAGTCAAGTCAGTAGCGGGTATGTCCACCGTGAGCATCAATACATGCCAGAACACGCCTACGGACTGATGACGTAAACGTCTGATGACATTGGGAGTGATGCGTTGCCATTCCTCGAGGAGACATCGTTCCAAGTCCTGGACGTTGACTGGAGGCACACGGCGACGTCGGATTTGCCGATCGAGGTGGTCCCATAAGTGCTCGATGGGATTCATGTCTGGTGAACATGCGAGCCATGGCAAAACCTGTACGTTGGCGTTGGCAAGGAAGTTCTGTGTCAATCTTGCTGTGTGTGGCCTTGCATTGTCATGTTGGAAAAGGAGTCCACGAGGCTGTTGCTGAATAAAGGGAACCACAACAGGCCGTAGGATGTCATCAAGATAACGCTGTGCATTCAGGTTTCCACGAATTACGACAAGCATCGTTTTGACGTCACCACATATGCCACCCCAAACCATTAACCCTCCACCTCCAAACGGCCGGACCTGTTGGATACAGTTAGGCGCCAAACGTTCACCAAATCGTCAGTATACAAGCTGCCGTCCATCGTTTCTGAAGATGAGGAATCTGCTCTCATCAGAGAACATAACACGTGCCCAGTCCCGCCGTTGCCAACGTCGAACTCGCCTGGCCCAGATCAGTCTGTTGTTCCGGTGTCGAGGCGTCAGGAGCGGTCCGCGGTAGGGATGACGTGGCCGGATACCATACTGCCGTAGTCTCCTGTAGACGGTCTGTCGACTGATCCTGTGTCCCAGTGCTGTAGCCGCCGTGGACGTCGCTGTTACGGTGCGGTTCCTCAGGTGTATTACCCGGATGTAACGATCTTCACGGGGCGTGGTTACTCGTGGTCTTCCACTCCTGGGCCTGTCTGACGTCTGACCTGTCTGACGTAACCGCTGCATCAACCTGGTGATAGTGATGCGTGCGCAGCCCAACCTTCTGGCGACGTCGACGTGTGATGCTCCTTGTTGGACCATTCCAACGGCTCACTCTCTCTCGATGGCTGTCAAACGTGGCATATCTTGTGTTCTTTTTGTTGCTGTGATATCAACGTGTCTGATCAGCCGTTTTATACAGTTTTTATGCACGTGCAGAACATGCTAGAGAGGGAAATGTCACTTTCACGAAATTTACGTTTTTTCCCGGAAGTGATCACGTGTTCCCGGTATTTTTTATCGACTATGCTGTGTTTGGGATGTGCAATACGAATTGGCATGTTTTCATACTAGACAATTCACTTAGTAAAAAACAATTTTGAAAATAAGTTGGTATCGTTTCTTTTGGACACTAGTTTATATATGTTGCCTTTCTGCACAACGAAAAGGCCTTCGACAGGATATGGCATGAGGGGCTGCTTCTGAAACTATACAATCTTGGTGTGAAAGGCCGTGCATGGCACATTATCAGTCAATTCTACAAAGAAGCAGGTGCCTGTGTTAAAGACAGAGGGAGGACAAGTGATTCGTTCAATGTTCAACAAGGAGTAGGACAAGGTCGCATGCTCTCACATGGATGTTACTAGTCTATATTAATGACCTGATATCTCAACTTGATAATCTACAATGTCGACTGATATAAGGGTAACGCTATTTTTCAGGGCATTATCATTTTCAGAAGCCCAAGGTCTTCCATTACCTGCCTGACGAAGGAGGGCGGTTGAAAAGACCGAGGGCTTCTGCAAATGATAATGCCCTGAAAAATAGCGTTACCTCATTACAGCTAAAAATGATGGAATTTGCTGTAAGATAAAAAGAAACAATATCGGTTTGGAAACATTTACTGCAATCAACACGAATGTCACTGACACACTTTTACAAAATATGGAAACGTCAGAGAACAAACCAGATGACGTCACTATTGAACGTGACGTCACATATCCACTCACTTAACAAGGGCGTGATAATGGCCCGTCGTCAAGCAATATGGGGGCAATATCAAGTTTTATTATATACTTCAGTGTGAAAGACTGAGTTTTCTGAAGTTGAGAAAAGTGATATTTTCATTGCAGTGAACATAACACTTGATATTTCACTGCAGTGAACATAACACCTGATATTTCACTGCAGTGAACATAACACGTTGACGGAACTATGTTGGCCTACACAAGACAGCTCGTACACAAACTGTATCGATCCAAAACCCCTTTTCGGTCATTAGGGTCAGCTGGCTTTGGGCAAGGGTTAGCCATAAATTCTTACCTTTCAAGCGTTAATCCAGTTAATCCCATTGGTCGGTCATGTTGACATAAACAATTGCGGGTGTGGTTTCAAGAAAAGATGAATGGGAGAGCGGGAAGTGACGTCACACGCATGCGCAATTCATTGTTTACTGAATTACGCATGCATGTCAATGGGGATTCTAATGACCTGTTAAACGAGCACTGATTACATGTGATAGTGCCTGTGGTCCAGTGGTAGAGCGTAGGCTAATTAACGCATTAATTAGCAGAGCCGGTAAGCCGGCGAAGCGCGTTCGAGCCCCCACAGCGCTAATTGGATCTGAAAAAGTGCGCCCGGTAAAGTGCACTACTCCCACTTTTTTACCGTTTGTTATTTTGTTGAAAATGATTTGTATTAAACTGTGAATTTCTCTCTTCTGATTTGTCAGTCGATACTTTACGTTTCGAAAAGCGCCATTTTGTTACTTGAATTGCGTGTATTCTTTCGCTTCGAACAACCGTCTCATTGACTTGAAATTTATTTTTTGATGAAGTTGATTTTGTATATAATCATATCCAAATGTTTACTAAAGAATTTTAGTGACATCAAATATTTTTGGTTACTTTTGTTTATATTTTTTAAGATTTAGCAAAGACGGAACTACATTTTTAGTCGTACTTACAGGGGGTGGAAAACCGTCCATGTGTGTTATGTAGGGAGAATTTACGCTTGAAGGTTTTACATTTGTAATGAAATAATTTAATCTTCCTGCAGACAACTACACCAAAAGTATATAATAAATAGGATATTTCATGTGTCGAGTGAAATATCATGTTTCTCTCATCTCGTGACGGGGGCTACGCCACTCATGAAAATATCTCCTTTCCCCCGTCACTCGGTGAGAGAAACATGATATTTCACTCGACACATGAAATATCCTCTATACAGTGGCCCGCTCATTTCTGATAACATGCGGGCGGTTTAATGATAAGTCTATCCATTTTAGCTATAAGGAGCACATCCCGATGGTATTACTGGCTGATGACACTACTGTTGTGAGTCATAGTGTACATGGTGGACTGAATATGTCTCTTGATACCATCCACAAGTATGCTCGGCCCTGGAGACTGACGTATAACGCCAATAACAGCTGTGTCTTGTCTTTTAGCAATAACAGAAGACATTGGAATAGCCCTGTGTTCAGAATTGGAGATGTGACAATGAAGATCCCAACTAGTACGATTTATGCCGGCTCTCTGATACACACGGAAAAAGCAAGTGCACGAACTTCTGGAGGATTGAGTCCAGTGTCTTCATCGAATATCTGGCAACGAGTGAGCTGCCCCTCTGTATGATACATTGTCAGTAAGATTTATACTGAAACTGTTTATTCATAATTTTCGGAATACTTTAAGTGTCTTTGGTTGTCCTTTGCTTATGTTTTATTGTGATATGCAAATGACTGATAGATGCTTCTCTTTGTTGTTTTAAGGCGTGCGGTCCAACGCTATTTCCCCGACAACAAGTTCTAGGTATTATAATCAGACTAGACCAAACATAAAACCTTAAAGGTTTATTTTACAGGTCGTAAGGTTTATTATTCTTAGATGTTTAAGAGGTCGGCTTCTGCCTCGGCAATGTCCCCTGACCTGTCCCTCTTTGGGACCCGTGTGTGAGTAGGGTACTCGTATCTCTTTTGAGTTTTAGTATTGATAAGATTTCTATTTCGTATTGATATGATTTCATTTTCGTTTTTTAGACATAAATAGAATTTCTTTGGCTGCTCTGTTTATATACGTTCGAGTAGCTGACCATCTCTCAGAAAAATAGTTAGTTTCGCTTTCGCTATTATGTCTCTTGACTTTTGGAGATCTACGACAGACAGCGGATCTAACAGCAATTCTTATTTTAACCAGCCCGGCTTGGGCATGGTCTTTAACATTGCCATTAAAAGTGAGCAATGGGATTCAGGGTGATTGCAAGATGGATATACCTTGTCATAGCGCTCTTTGTGACGGAGTCTATGAGAGGTCTATTTCAACTTTCATTTCCTTTGAGTATGAGTCAGCTTTTTTCTGAATTTTGCGTTGAATTTAGTATGGCCATCTGCCGATCTTACTTGCGTCCCACTGGCATTACCATCTTTGAGATATGGCGGCTTTGATTTTAACTTTTACCTCTGAAGTTTGCTGAAGTGAGTGAGTGAGTTTGGTTTAACAGTGTTCCAGTTATATCATGGCGTGTCAGCTTAATGTGGGAGGAAGTCCCGAAGTGATGCAGGTCTCAGACGTATACCACTTCGGTGAAACCCACGAGCACGGGTATGTGCTGACAAACCTAGAAACATAAGCGGGGCGAACCGTGATTCGAACCCACAATCATAGGTTTCTGGCGTGTCCAAGGGACGCAACTCTGCACAGCGAATCGCCACCCGTGCGCCCCAGTTTGCTGAAGGGAATAGGCAGTGTCTCCGCTTTGTCCAGAGCTAGCTTCGCCAGTGTGTCTGCTTTTTTCATTTACGTTAATATCAATGTGAGACGGAATCCCTTGGTCCAAAAGTTTTGTATATTTGTATAGAAAAGGCAGGGTGGGACAACTAAGGAATGGCCAGGAGTCCGAACTTGACCACACAGAAGGAAGCGAGCTACAAATACATGTTTTATATCACTGGAAAGCTCTCGAGGAGACGAATCCAAATAATGTGTGTCCCAGTGTGTTCACATGTTCATAAGCTCAAAAATTGGCTCAGAAAATGCATTACTGCAGAAATTTCTGGCCGAATTTTTTTTTTCTGCAGAAATTTCTGGCAGTATTTTTTTTTTCTACAGAAATTTCTGGCAGAATTTTTTTTTTTCTACAGAAATTTCTGGCAGAATTATTTTCTGCAGTAATATTTAGCAGAATTATTTTAATTCAGGAGAAATAAGATTCAATCATTGGATAGTTTAACCTGGAGTTGCTTTAAATGACCTTTTTCCTCAAAACAAACATTTTTAGTTCACATGATTTCAAGCAAAAAAATAAAACTAATTTCGTGAGATATTTCAAAAAATTATTTATTCACATGCTTTATTACAAGACAATTCCTTGGGAGACTCTGCACTTTTCATTCTCATTTCTTGGGTGAGGTGAATTTTTTTCAGAGATGGGTCCTGTCACAAAAGAAAATAGATGTATAGATGAGTGGATCCATAGTATCTAGTATAATGGATAATGGCAGCCTATACGCAGCTAGAGTTTAACTTTACAATAGAGCCTGCGGAATAAAATGTATTATGAATGTAAATAGTGTGCTTTACTTACGTTTTCTTCTCAACATACTTGAAATGAATTCTTTTTTTTCGTCTGGTCATTGAAAGCTATGTGCACATATTCTGAAAAGATAGGAAAAAACCATTAAAATGCTTTTCATTTCAGTAATTAACACATTCCACAAGCTTTAGACACATGAACAAAGTAAGATAAGTGAGGTGAGTTGAAATTGGGTTGAATGTCGCGTCCAAGATAATTGCACTTATATAGCGATGTGCGTTCGTGCGTGTGTGTGTGTGTGTGTGTGTGCGTGCGTGCTTGTACTAGTCGTCTGCATCTTCCGTTTTGTACAGGTCACTCCATAAGTTGTCAGTGACTGCATACTTGTGTAGGGGGCACTAAATGTTCACACTGTCATAAAGCTGAAAATTATATAAATGTGAGTATACTGCGAAAATTACATTGGATTAATTCGTTAAAAGAGACTTATGTATCATGTTTGGGAGAGGCATTCAGATAAGCAAAATTTGCTTGTTTGCCAATCCCTCCACTTTATGGAAATAAATATGTTTATATCAAGAGACTTCTAAACCATAACCGAACTCAAAACTAACCCCCTGTGTCGTAAATGGGTGCTCTAAGGTAAAAAGGATGGTAAACACGTGTTTCATTGGCAAGGGATACTCAACCCTTATGATCGGAAAGGGGGTCCAAGGACAAAGGAGAGACCAGACCTACTACCCAGAGGGGCCACTTAGTGTAAAGCTAGCCTAGTCTATGTCTCCACTAAAAAAAAATAGATAAATTGTCGGACAGCATAATCTGGTGTCAGATCTTAAAAAAGTTCAGAAAGACTGTGAAACCATGGTAAGAAGTATTATTGTTAATGAAGCAACCTTCCCAAATGTGTGTGCTGCATAAGCTGGAGTGGTTCCCTTTGAATTTCCAAAATATCAATCGACAGACGAAACGAAAATTAGTTCGCTTGACATATCCAGTTGGGGATTATTCTTTTTTAGTTTGGTGGAAAAATGATATGAAACACTGGGGTCTGACTGACTGATATAGAAGATTTAACGTGCGCTTTCCGATTGTAGCGTATTTCGCACACGGGTCTGGCCGGACCATTTATTGTATTCCGAAAAGGGTGAAAGTGATGTGTGCAACCCAAGAGGGGGCTTTTAGGGGTTGCTTATATTGAAGTTTTGGAATTTTTAAATTTGGAATAAATGCCGAGGTGGGTGGAGGAGAGAACTAAGGGAGCCGGGTGAGCTGGGTGTTTGTATGTTTATTGGATTTTGGATTGGTAGATTAATTAGTTTTTAGATGCGCTTAATTAGGTCTGTTTTGATTAGGAATACGCCTAGGGCCTTGAAGTTTTCTAGTTTATTTTGAGGGTTTAGTATTTCATCTAGAGTAGGAACCTTATTTAGATTGAGGGTGGTTTGTAGTGTGGTTCTGTGTGTTTGGTAGTGGGTGCAGTGGATGAGTGCGTGTTCTGTGGTTTCGGGTTGTTTGCAGTGGGGGCAGTCGCCTGTGGTGTGTCTTTTAATTTTTTTTAAGGTGGTTATTTAGGTTCGTGTGTCCTGTTTGGAATTTTGGTAATAAATCTGTCAATTTTTTTAGAGGGGTGTAGGATTTTAGGTTTGGCTAGTGGTTTTCTGAGCACTTTTTTGATTTGGCTATTTGAGTTTTGATATTGATTATGCCATTTTTTGGTTATTTTTTGTTTGATTACACTTTTAATTTCTGCTTTTGAGATGGGTAAGTTTAGGCTTATTACTGGTATTTTGAGAGATAATTAAGCTGCTTTATCGGCGCTTTCGTTGGCGTAAATTCCTACGTGGGCAGGGATCCACAAGAAGGTTATTTGTTTGCCTGCTTTTGTTAGGTCGTTGGAGCTTTTAAGTATTTAGTTTATTAATTTAGGTCGTTTTTGGTAATTTTGTTTTGGAGGGCTTTTAGTCCACTAAGGGAGTCGGTGAGAATTAGGATTTTATTGTTGTTTTGAGATTGGGGCTGCCCAAGGACTAAATATATCATACAATTATTGAAATACCCGTATACATTCTGATTGTCGAGTGACCTTGTGAACAACCAACACCCTCCTTAACCCCCCCCCCCCCCCCAAAGTAGCACGCTCACGGTTTTCAATATATTCGATAACATACTACTTAGATGCGAACTGTTTAATTGACAGCTGTTAATTGGTAACGGTCAAGCCTCAGTGACTTTGCATTGGGAGTGTGTGTGTGTGTGTGAGGGGGCGTCTGAAATAAAGGATGATTCAGTCGGAATAAAGATAAGATAATGATCTCATAAATTTTATTGAAGGCTTTGAAAGTTTAGGATCGGCGAGACCGTAACACAGTCTAATTAACAAAACGATCACGTGATCGTGGCGCTGATAGACAATACCCACCGACCACGTGCGCGAGACTATGTATCACCGTATGAAGTGACAATACCCGAGGATATTTAATTGCCAAGTTGGCAGGAAGTCTGGCGGCACGGCCCGTACAATATGCGTCGTTTGGGTATTCTAAATTATCTCAGCACCAGCTTTGATGGGGCAATAAGAGAAGATGATATATATGTTTATTTTAGGAAAACATAAATACAACAATTTGTTAAATTAATAAACATTGGGTCTATAAAGTTATTTTTATCTAAATATTTCTAACGTTATAAATGATAGAAAACTCGCATGTAAATTATCAAAATACTGCATGGATTGGTATTTTGTAATTTTCCGTGTTTTCACTTTCACTGATCACCACAGGCAAATTCATGGTCACATAGCTACACTACAAGTGTCGCCATACAGCTACAATAAGTTGCCTAATGTACATGTAGACAGTATACAAGTCGCAATAACACCACAGGGGATGGAGATATCTCCTTTTCAGATTAGTTTTTTTGCGTATTTTTTTATCAAAAGTGGTAGAAATAAATACACTAAAATTAGACTCTTACAAAACGCGTTTCGCATGGCAGCAAAGCCACACATTCACTGTTTGGAGTACAGGTTGTTATTTGGTTGTTGTTATATGAAATAACCGTGTTACCAAAATTCCACGTTCTAGGGTCAGCGTTTCCAGAAATAAAACAATAAATATTTTGACGTCTTACCTGTATCGTAACTGCAAGACGGTAACCAGACGCTGTAACTCTGCTGACTGCATCTGGTTCGGGATCTTTGCTGTGGCTGAAATAAAGAGTGCTATTTTTTACAGAAAGAGACCACGTTGCTTGTGCCATTGTGCAAAGACATTGTGCGAAGGTACGATTCTGAATATACACGAATATATACAAGTCACATGACAAAGAAGGTATTTACATGAAGATATTTCAAATCTCGATGTTAGAGACCTTGAGAAATGTAGATTTAACTGAATCCAATCCGATTAAGTGTTACTATCATTCATTACAAATGGATAATACGATATTGCATTATAGAGAGGGTAATTATAGCTACCTGAAGGAGCAACCATATGTCCACTCTTTGAAGTTGCCGCCAAACCGGACGCGTAATTGTAACTCGCAAGAACACTGTGTACACAGCTTCTTTCTAAATTTGGAGAAGCGTAAGTGTGGTGAAAGAACAATAATAATAATAATAATAATATAGTTTATTAATGTGTCATGTGTACATAATACACCTGGCCATTACTGGCCCATATGGTAACAACACTCCCCCACAAGCAAGCACAACAACAAAACACAAACACTAAGAAATCATCAGCTACACCCATCCCACAAACACCTTCACAATCCTCCACATCACATGCCTCCCCCATGGAAACTCAATCAGCTAAACCTAATCTAACCGATGACGAAGATTTCTCCACTACTGAGGAAACAATAGACACTACTCCAACTAAAACAAACCAAACTCCCCAACAAGCCAACACCCAAAACCTAAATAACCTCACCTTACTCCTAGCATACATGCATAGTCAAAACTCACCAAAAGCTAGCATGAAATCCTTCTACAAAGTAGCTTTCAATCTAAAATTAACCGATCTTCCCTTCTTCCTCTTTAACCTCCATCTAAAAGAACTCACCGAATAAAATAAAAACTAAATCACCAATCACCCGAACCCAATATTCGAAGGACTAAATATTTTTCAGTGGAACGCCAACGGACTTACCTCCCACGGCCATGAACTAAAAACTAAATTTAAACTAAATAAAGGCCCTCACATTGCTTGTATACAGGAAACCAAATTCTCAAAAAAATCCAAATTCACACTACCTAACTACAACTCAGTTAGAACTGACAGAGCTAAACCGAAAACAAGAAGAGCCGCAGGAGGACTAATCATATTTATCAGGGAAGATATAAATTACGAAGAAATAAAAATAGACACGCCAAACCTAGAAGCCAACGGCATTAAAATCACATTAAATAACCGAAACATAAACATCATAAATATTTACCACTGGGCGGAACAAAAAGTCCAACCTGAGGATCTAAACAAACTACTCCAAATAAGCGATAAATCTACTATATTCCTAGGAGACTTTAACGCTCACCATCCTACATGGAGCATAGATGATAAAATAGATAATCATGGCAAATTAATCTCCGAATGGATAGAAACAAACGACCTAGTACTCCTTAATAGCAACCAACCCACGAGGTACGATAAGATAAACCAAAAAATGTCGGCTATCGACCTAACCATATGCACCGCAGATCTAGCCCAAAGTACTCAATGGGAAGTGCACGACGTCCCGCTAGGTAGTGACCACTTCCCCATAAACATAACCATAGGAAATACAAACGTACCAATCCAAACAGAAAACCAAGAACCAAAATTCCATTACAATAAAGCTAACTGGGACCAATTCCAAGATATCTGCAACGAAGCTAACTTAAACGAAATAGAAAATAATGATCCAGAAACCTATTGTAAAAACCTAACAGACTATATAATAAACGCAGCCAAAACCTCCATCCCCTTCAAAACATCTAAGACAGGCAAACCGACGGTACCATGGTGGAATGAGGAAATAGAACAGACTAGACGAAAACGTAAATCAGCCTTCAATAAAGCAAAACGCGACTACAAATATTTAAACATAGCCCACTAACTAAACCACCAGGTTCAAAAACTAGTCCAAATAGCCAAAAGTAGAGACTGGAAAAAATTCTGCGAAGGTATAAATAACCGTACAGATGCCAGAATGGTCTGGCGCAAAATCCACGCCATTAGAGGCTTAAAACGACATAAAAAAACCCCTAACATTGACAACTCAACCAACCCCGCCCAAAAAGCAAATAATCTCGCCAACCACTTTTCGGCCGTTAGCAGTAACACCAACTTCAGTAAAAAATTCCAAGATAAACTTAAAACAGAAAACAAACCCACAAAAGAACCAAACAATAACAATCTAGAAATAAATCAACCCTACACAATGGAGGAGCTCCTCTACGTAATCCAAAACAGGAAAAAGGGCACAGCCCCAGGATTAGACCTAACTTCTTACCAAATAATTAAAAAACTCACCCTAAAACTACTCCAGGCACTACACAAACTATACAATCTCATCTACCTAAACGGACAGGTTCCTACTCCCAGGAAACAGGCCCTAGTCATACCAATCCCTAAACCTAATAAACCAGCTAATCAAGCTAACTCATATAGACCAATATCCCTAACTTCAAACTTATGTAAAGTAATGGAATCAATGGCTAAAAATAGATTACAACATTACTTAACCCAAAATAACATCATAAACCCAGATCAAAGCGGTTTCACTCCTGGCCGCTCAACCCTAGATAACCTCGCCCGACTAGAACAAGATATTAAGACAGGACAACTAAATAAACAATATACCACAGGCATCTTCTTAGACTTCTCTAAAGCCTTCGACATGGTATGGCACGATGGGCTTTTTAAAAAACTTTAAAAAATAGGACTCAAAGGTCAGATAATAAACTACATCCAGGACTTCCTAAACAATCGTAAAATAGCCGTGGGTATAGACCAAACTCTATCGGACCAATGTCCCCTAGAAAATGGTACTCCACAGGGCAGTATCCTCAGCCCCACCCTCTTCAATATAATGATAAACAATCTATTCGAGGGCCTATCCCCTAAAGTAAACACATCAAAATTCGCGGATGATGGAGCCATCTGGATCCGCACTAAAAGCATGTACATGGTCCAAAATTTACCCCCAAAATCTCTTAATAAAATACAACAATGGGCTGACAAATGGGGCTTCTCCCTTAACTCAGAAAAAACAACAGGAATAGTATTCAAACATAAAAACATGAAACCCGCCTCCCCAATCCTCCAGCTAAACAATCAAACAATCAAATTTCAAAAACAAACCAAATTCTTAGGACTTATTTTCGATGAACATCTCACCTGGGATGCTCACATCCAAAACCTAACAACTTAATGCAGTAAAGACCTAAACACCCTAAGATGCCTAACTGGCTCTAACTGGGGAGCATCCAAAGATACCCTCCTCTCTCTCTACATATCACTAATTAGATCAAAACTAGACTACGGCTGCGCCATATACAACACCCTAAACAACTCTCTATCTAAAAAACTTGACTCAATACAATATCAGGCTCTCAAACTAATTACACGCACCCAACATGGCACCTCCTACACCTCACTTCAGGCCTTAACAGGAGAAATGCCACTAAGTCTACGCAGGGAACAGCTAAGCTTAAACTTCTGGGCCGCGTCCCAATCAAACCCTCTCATCCAAAACTTAATAAACCAAAACATCAGCCCCAAAAACCAAGCTCTAGCTCGTAAACACCCCTTACTTACCCCAATATCCCAAAGAATAACAAACTACATAAATGAACACCAAATTAAAAATCTTAAACAAAACTGCAAACAATCAAATATCTTCACCCCTAAACTTAAAATACCCAAAATAGACACAACACTAGCTAGCCAAATAAATAAACAAACCGACCCAAACATAGCTAAAACTACCACACTAGCATACATACACGAAAATTGGCCAAATTGGTGTCACATTTACACGGACGGATCCTCAGATCCGACCTCCAAACACACAGGTTTCGGAGTCCATACCACACAACCAACTAAAACCACACAATCCTTCCGACTCCCAAACAACCAATCAATATTCACGGCAGAACTAAGCCCTCCATAATCAAGAATCCAAAAACCACAAAAAAATCCTAATACTTACCGACTCCCTAAGTGGACTGCAAGCCCTCCAAAACAAAAATACCAAAAAACGACCTAAATTAATAAATCAAATACTTAAAAGCTCCAACGACCTAACTAAGGCAGGCAAGCAAATAACCTTCTTGTGGATACCCGCCCACGTAGGAATATACGGTAATGAAAACGCCGATAAAGCAGCTAAACTATCCCTCAAAATCCCAGAAATAAGCTTAAACTTACCCATCTCAAAATCAGAAATTAAAAGTGTAAACAAGCAAAAAATGGCATAACCTATATCTAAACTCAAATAGCCAAATCAAAAAAGTGCTCAGCAAACCACTAACCAAACCAAAAATTCTCCATCCATCCAAAAAAATCGACAGAGTAATCACTAAACTCCAAACAGGACACACCAACCTAAATAACCACCTAAAAAAATTTAAAAAACACACTACAGGTAACTGCCCACACTGCAAACAACCAGAAACCCCAGAACACGCACTCATCCACTGCACACACTACCTAACACATCGAACCGCATTACAAACCACCCTCAATCTAAACAAGGCTCTAACTCTAGAAGCAATACTAAACCCACAAAATAAACTAGAAAACTTCAAGGCCTTAGGCGTATTCTTAATAAAAACGGAACTAATAAACCGCATCTAAAAACACAATAACCTACCAAATCAAAATCACATAAACAAACAAACATCCACCATACCCAGCTCCCTTAGTTCTCCTCCCCAATCCCATCGGCATCTATTCCAAATCTCAAAATTCCCAAATTCTATATAAGCAACCCCTAAAACCCCCCTCTTGGGTTGCACAGACCACCTTCGCCCCTTTCGGAAACACATTAAATGGCCTGGCCGGGTCCGTGTGCGAAATACGCATCAGTCGGAAAGCGCACGTTAAATCTCCAAAGTAAGTAAGACTGGCCTAAAAGACACCTAAAATTATACAATCAATAAAATACATAAATAAAATATTATAACTAACAATATTATCATATGTATACAGCAAACCCCACCCACCCACCACCCCTCCCCCCGCCCCACTCCACAGACACACGGACATATACTCTCATGCAAGATCAACCTAGTCACCAGTTCACACACCTTAGCACACACACCCCCCCACCCCCAAGATCAGCGAGTCACAGAAATCCAACTCGGTCACTCAATTACACGCATTATTGAATATGACCCCCACACATTCAATCATGCACAAGTTCAACCGTGTCAGTCAACCATTCTGTATTCAATCTGCCCACCCTTCCTAGCACACACCCATATACGCCCCAAGTCACACCATGTCACACAGTCATGCATATACTTTAATCCAGTCATTCTGTTTATCCCCAATCCCCCTGGTCAGTCTGTCGTATTTCAAAATTTCTACCAAGTCACCTTCTCTCACAAATAATATACAACATATGAACACAGAATTATACATAAGGATATTGTTCACTAAAAACAGATATTATTATATTATGGTAGTTTGGATAAGCACAAACTACTAATCTGCTTAATCACATTCTCGCACCGGTAATGTACAACATATGAACATAGAATTATACCTAAGGATATTGTTCACTAAAAAAAGATATTATTATATTATGATAGTTTGGATAAGCACAAACTAATAATCGTCTTAATCACATTCTTTCACCGATAATGTACAACATATGAACATAGAATTATACCTAAGGATATTGTTCACTAAAAACAGATATTTTTAAAATATGGTAGTTTGGATATGCACAAACGCCTTTTCCTGTACACAGTGTGCAAACATTTAGATAACTGGTACTGAATGTTGTCATTTTTAAGAAGCCACAGAAACTTTTCAAAATTTGAAAATTCAGTGAAATTTGTTTCTTGTATTTTAGCTGTGTTAAATATAGATAGTCTGATATCTTTATAGAAGTTGCATTCTACAACAAAATGAAATTCATCCTCTGTGGCTTGCTTGTCACAGAGAGTACATAGTCTTTCTGAAAGAGGAGTGATGGGCTTGGTATATCTTCCACATTCTATATTAATTGGCAGGTTACCACAACGCAATGATGCTAATACACTTCTATATTGCCTTGGTAGAGACATTTTAACATAATGGCATGTTTCAATGTCTTGTTGAAATAATCTATAAGTTCTTAACTTGCTTCCATTTGAATTATTTTTATCATTAAATGGATCTGAATACCACTTCTCTCTGTCTTTCTTATCCAGCTCCTGCAATGCTTGATCAAGGAACACTGGCCGGCTTGTGTTATTACAGTAATCATATACAGTCTGGACTCTATTGGTGATAGCAAGCTTTTTAACCATGACCATAACCCTGTAGTCCCATGATGATTTCCGCCTTACTGACCACCTGTGAATAATACCTATTATTGAATCTGGTTCGGCTGTGACAGCTCTATGAAAAACATCTAAACACTTCAACTTGAATCTAAGTCTGTTGAATGTAAGTCAGGCATGAAGTTGCACGGAAGAACCAACGTGAGACTTTATAATCACATGGTTGTTCATATATGTTATTTAATGCGTGATAGGTATTACCGCTTAAAAGGTGGTTTTGTATTTATAATAAAAACTGATCGTTTACATTTAATATAGAATATAAAAATAGTTTGGGTAGCAACATAACTGTTGCATAGGGTATGTTGTTTAATGATAATACTATATGAACATTCCTCGAGCCAGCTGACTTACACTATGGATAGTGTACAAGACAACAGTTATAGAACATCACGTGATAAGGTTGATGGAAATGGCAAAATATTTATTTACAATATATGTGTTTCCAGGGGAAGAGCCTGTTACAAAGTCTGTGTCTAAAAAAAAGTAAACTCGCTCCTTGTCAGACAAAACTGAATGTAATTAAGTTAACTACCTATGTACATTATCAGTGGAGTACTTGAATTAATATTAAATTGTAACCCGAGATGCTGGTGACACACCTTATTACGTGACCACCCATTGAGGCGTGAACACCCAAGGGGGCGTGATATACACCCTTGTGTTTGATTTGATATACCAATCAGCCGTGGACGCCCGACCATAAAAATGGTATATATAGATTTAACCCTAATCAGGTATTGTTAAATATCGTTAAATCGTCGAGAACGTTCTGTCAGACGATCAAACGATAACTATTCAACAAGTCGGTAAATCACATCGAAAACCCAAGTTCTGGTCGCAGTGAGAAGCTCTGGATGCCTTGAGGAGGGTTCACCAGCTCTGCTTCAACAACGTTGACATGGGTAAGAAGCATTTTATTGTATTTTTGTACACCAAACACTGTATATATCTTGAAGAACCTTTTCCTTCTGTTTGGATCATGGTTTCTTTATGAACAAAGTCATATTCACTGAACATGTTGCTACCCTATTACAGATCTTACCAACGTCATCAACAGTCAAGGCAGACATCTTTCTTCAAGAAATCTGCCCAAAAGGAAAAACACTGAAATTGGTAAGTAATGTTTATGTGCAATGTCGTTAACTATAGTTCATTTATTGCATCGGCACTCCTTCAAGATTGGGGACATCCGGACACCCACCACCAAGCTATCAGACTTCAAGCCCTTCATGCCTGCCCCAAGGGAAGCGACAACCCTCCCAACTAAAGTTCAAGAGGCAATAGAGAAGAACAATGAAAAACTGCAAAAACAATCAAAGGTAATTTCAATAAATATTGCATTTCTTTTGAAATATGTATTGTGATGTGTAATATTAGGGTTAGTCAGCGTTACTTAGAATATGTGTAATGTGGGCAGAGAAACAACCCAACTTCATGAGGTTACTATTTTTGCTTTTATTGTATAGATGCACTGTGATTTTAATTATGTTCTCATATTCTTTACATTTATTTTCATTACTTTCAGATCACTCTGACAAAGCACCGAAGACAAGCGTCAGTATCAGAACAATAAAGAAGGAGCAGCAAGTTTTGCTGAAATGAACATATTTTTTGTCTAAGCTATGTGGCTGAGATATTGCCGAGGATTGCATTGCAGGAGTTTTGTACTTTGTATGTTTTTGTTTCTTAGTAAAGCTGTGTATTTAGAATTGTATATATATATACATATATAGGATGAGATGTGCACAATGAAATTTATGAAACAATATATGCAGTTATATCGTAAAATCTTGGTTGTGTTCTATTTTTTTTCCTTGTCTGAAGTTAACCTACTTTCAGAGTACCGTATATCACATGTAAGATGTTTCTTTGAATTCCAACTGGGGATTATATATTTGGTTGGCCCCATGGAATAATTATGAAATTTATTTTTTGAGAATCACATTCACCTTTAATGTTGTACACTTCAAAGTCGTAAAAAGGCCATTGAAAATGGTCATTGAAATTCTCATAATAATTAAGATAATTATAGGGTAAGCTCAAGGTTCAATGATTTGCATCCGTCTAGTATACAAAGGTATGAGGCCAACATGTTGTTCAATTGTTTAATTCGAGTGACGTCAACTTTTCTTGATAAATTTGGTAAATATAATACCAAGATAAATATCTTCAATTGCTGAATTCAATTTATTGATGGTTGATATTACTGCAGAAAAAAATTCTGCCAGAAATTTCTGTAGAAAAAAAAATTCTGCCAGAAATTTCTGTAGAAAGAAAAAAAAAATTCGGCCAGAAATTTCTGCAGTAATGCATTTTCTGAGCCAATTTTTGAGCTTGTGAACATGTGAACACACTGGGACACACATTATTTGGATTCGTCTCCTCGAGAGCTTTCCAGTGATATAAAACATGTTTTTGTAGCTCGCTTCCTTCTGTGTGGTCAAGTTCGGACTCCTGGCCATTCCTAAGTTGCCCCGCCCTGCCTTAGAATATTACTGACTGTGTTTGGTCTGAATATTGAGTTTCTGCCGCTGATCGCTTGTAGTACACTTAGCGAGTCTTTTTGTTTCGGTAGTTCCGGTATGAGTGTGAGGACATAATGCATTGCAGGCGGACCCATTGTGTTTGGGGTTTGGAGCTATGGACATGGATCCTGTATCCAGCACTGTTGTTGATAGGATTCTTGGATCCACCAGTGTATATATGGGCCCAGCTGTCCCAGGTAGAATTTTAGTGGTAGCTACTGATGTAGTAGGGTTGGGTTGCCTGGATTTTCCCGCAATACGTTTAGGGTCTTTATAAAATGTTTTCAACATATTCTAAATATTTGCATCAAGTGAGGTGCAGATTTAGGTTCATGCCTCGAAATGTTGCAGAGTTTCTGTGTTTCCTTTTATGGAGAGACGCAATATCATAGCATCTTTCTCCCAGGGTTTGAATAGACCCCCCAGTTTTTTTCACTCGGAGGGTCAACCCCCATCTATTGCACCATTGACCTACTCCGTCCAGGTCTGAATGAAGGTTAAGATGACTGACGTAGATTTTGATCCCATAGCTAGGATATTTCTTCATGTCATGTCATGTCATGTCATTTCTTCATGTCATGTCATGTCATGTCATGTCATGTCATACATAATGTCATGTCAATGAACCTGAAATATTAAACAGAAACATATGATTTATTTGAGTCCGTAAATAAAACCCCATTTTGTAATCAATCGACTATCGGATGTAAACGAAACAAGAAGATAAAGTCATCTATATCCTCCGCCCTGCATACCTGGCATATACCCCATTGAACCAAAAAGGTTTTTGAGTACAACTGACATTATGACAGATGACTAAACCACAAAATGAAACCATCATTTGAACCTTAGTTCAACTTGTTAAAACAAAATCTAAAAACACAAAACACACACCTAAATAGCAAAACCCACAAAATCCGCATACTAATAGTTATGCCCCGGAAACGATCCCTTCCCTCGTTTAAAGCCATGGAAACGCAATCAAATATAAATAAATCTCGAATAGCACACGGCACCAATTCAGTGCATGCCTGATGTATATACAAAGTTGCATGAAGAAATATTAAATGGTGTATAAGTGACGAGTAGTATACTTTCTATGCAGACAAAGCAGTTATCCGTCAATTGTGAGGTAATACAATGAAATACAATGAAATTCGTGTACTATGGTTGTCAACGAAAGGACAATGTCAAGAAAAGTAGTTGATAGGGGTAAAGGAGAAATATTCTAAAGCAGGTTGAGACGAGGTCTGTATGGGCGGAGACGACGTCTGCATGGGTGGAGACAACGTCTGCATGAGCGAAGACGACGTCTGCATAGGTAGAGACGAGGTCTGCATGGGTGGAGACGAGGTCTGTCTTGGTGGAGACGACGTCTGCATGAGCGAAGACGACGTCTGCATAGGTAGAGACAAGGTCTGGATGGGTGGAGACGAGGTCTGTCTGGGCAGAAGGACAGAAACACGTGCATTAGGAATGCCAAATCATCATCCTCTGACCCGACAAGGAGTACGACAAGGGTAATTGTGAGAAACATTCTCTCGGTCTCGGTTGACGAAATTGATGTGGAAACTCGGAATAACAGTCTTGAAAATGTGTTAACGATGTGTTACGCTGTGCAACTCACTAAACATGTAAAGCAACTTACTGCTGAACTGGGTGTGGGGTGTCTGCTGATAACGTTGAAACTCCCCACACCTGTAATGTTTAAACAAAAGAAGAAATGCTGTCACGATGTGTTGACATAACCTGGACATAGCTCAGTGTGGAGCATGTGATCAAACAGTGGCGAGGACTTATTGAAGAAGACCCAGCCTTGTGTTATTGTCTTATGTCAGTATCAGTGTAGGGATTTCTAGAATGTACAACTCAAGAAAAGCGTTAAGAAAATACAAGTTGTACGAATGATGTACTTACAAACTCGATTTGATTAAAGCAATGCAGTGTTCCAATTTAACAGTTTAATATAAAATATAACGGAGTTTGTCTTTGTCATTTACAATCATGTCTAGTGGTCTAGCAAAGTCCTAAAAAAGCGGGGCCTGTCACTGAGCAACGAAATTTCAGTCTGCTTTAAAAAAAAGTGTGGTTTAAGATTCAGTCCTAAAAAAGTAAATGAGTCTCTGGAAGACAAGAATGCGTATATTCTTTGTACCTGCCAGTGAAGCGTAGGTTTTTTAGGCTACGTGTACGTGTCAATGGGCTAGATGAAATGTGGGACAAGAACCTTGATGACGACCGTCGTTATTCAAGCGTAAACGATGGTTTGCGTTATTTACTCATAGCGACGGTGGTAGAAGTTTCACAACACCCTGGTCCTGCCATGGAAGCGGTCACTCTGCCTGCAGTGCTTGTGCCAACTGTCGGAAGTCCTGAGTGCAGTCTTTTGATTGGGTTTATATCTGGAGACGCGAAGAGCCTTGGCAGGACCTGGACGTTGTGGTTTGTTAAAAAGGCTGTTGTCAGTCTTGCCGTGTGAGGTCGAGGGTTGTCGTGGTGGAAAATGACGTTCACTTGAAGACGGCAGAAGAATCTCATCCGTGTAATGTTGTGCCGTTAAATTCCATAGAAACTGCACCAAGTCTGTTCCACCAGTGTAGGAGATGGCTGACCACATCATCATACTACCACCTCCAAATCTGTCCTGTATTCAGTTTTGTGCGTAACGTCCCCCACGACGCCTATATGCACGGTGTCTACCATCAAGCAGAAAAAGTGACTCGTCACTAAACCAAACTTGTCTTCATTGCAGTTGCGGCCATACTCTGTGACATCATTGGCGTCGCAGCCGACGTCAGAACACTCGATGAAAACTGAAGAACTGGACTAGCGCGAATACCTTCAACGTGTTAACAGTTCATCATTGTCTGGGCTGATATCCTACCCAATCCTGGTACTTCCCTGGTGGGGTTTTCACGTAAGTGACGTAGCCATATGATTCTGACCTGTGCTCTAGTAGTGATACGTGGTCCACTGGATCGTGGAACGTCACGTGTTGTCCCGCGTGTCTGATTACGGTTCTGCAGTCATGTAATGGTGCTTGGTGCTATGTGGAAAAAACCTGGCTACAGTCGTGGCATGGTTTTCCTGTTCACTTGCTGTAAGATTGTGATGGCGTGCAAATGAAAAACCCAGAGTTTTTATAGCCCCAAAAGTAATGTTGCACGATCATGCCATGTCGTCACGATATGGCTGAAATATTGCCGATGTGTCGTTAAATATTAACTCAATTTAGTGATCGCTACGACCACGGGTCGAAGATGTCCACGGTTACAGAATTACAACTCCCGATTCGATCTTACATACCAGCAAATATTCGTCTCTATTCCGCCCTCCAGTCTGGAATCCGAACGTCATACCACATATCCTTTATCATCTGAAGCTTACGAACTCTCGGCTAAAAAGTACTTTGAGCATATCTCACTCAAGAAGTCTTCTTGTTAGCCCTTGCAACAGCAGCTCTTATCAGTGAGATCTGCACACTGGATGTCAACCGGGTTCGTTTTCAGGGACAGCAAATGGTAAAGTCTTCCTCAATCTACGATGTAACCAACTCCCTGTTAAGTCGGATAGGCTGTTCACCATCCCTCCACTTTCCTCAATTCTTGGGCCTGACGATCAAAAAGACCTCTTCCTGAAGTTTTAGATAGCCAACGAGGCACAAGGAATACAGTGTCTTCGTGACTACGCTCAGTTTCCTTACAAGCATACACTTTGCTGGATTATCGTCAGCAGTGGCGATAATTCTGCATGAAACAGGGGCAGATGCCTCTACCATGGCTCTGCACAACAACTGTACGTTATTCATCAATAATGGAAGGCTTCCACTATTTCCCGAGGGACATCTCGGCCTCAGACGTACAAGGCCAGCATCATGCAGCGCAGATGATGACAACTCGATCACAGCATACGGATGGATCGCGTGTTGTATCGTTTACCTACAGAAATATAGTTTTGAAGTTCAAGCATCTCATTATTTCTATTTCTAATAGAGCAGGCTCCCATACTTCTTGAAGAACTTCTCGACCCGGGCTAGGGATGATTCGCTCTCTC